GATTTGGAAATCCATGGACATATGTTCTTCGAGATGTTGTTCAATTTTCTAATACAATAGATACTGTACTAACTATGCTTGTGAATGCTAAACGTACTTGTTCAGTTCATCTTGGTCTTGGAGAATATCATCGAAATACTTCAATAGCTAGTGATCAAACAATCGATTTTCTTGGTATTGAATATAGTGCAAAAGAATTTAACGTCTTCTCCTGGAAAGATATGTATAATACACCAAATCATCCAATATTAGATGATGTTGTTTATTGGGATCCACACCCTCAACCTTCGAATGATACATGTTTAGGTAGTTTATTAGTTGAACATTATGGTCATCTTGATGCACCAACCATTATTCGAAATATTACTAGTCAATTAAGAACAGGCAATACGCTTAATTTAGTACTTGATTATGCTGAAAATGCTGCCTATCTAGCTTATAGTGCTCCTGATGACCCACAAGGGCCATTAGAAGCTTTTAATCGAGTTCATACAAGACTTGACATGGCTAAATTATTTGCTGAACCAGCACCAAAATAAATAAAATGTTTTTAAATGTATTTCTTTATTTTATGTTAGCTATTTAATTTAATAATTATATCTTTTACTAGAACACCAAAGAAATATAAAATACAAGGAAAATAGCAATGATAAGCACTGCAATATTTAATAATGTTGTTTCATTTATAATGATAGTTTGATGTTAGATGCTTTCTTTATTGTTTTAATCTTTAGAATAAAAATATATTTAAAACTATACTGAATGATTACTTTCCTCATATCACAAAAGAATCTATTGACTTTATTATGAAGTAAATATTTTAACTTATTAAAAATAAGTATCATTTTGAAATTCTCATAAACAAAAAGTAAAGCGTATTCTTTGTCCTTAACTAGATCAAATTATTCTTTTATATTAAAAAAAGTCGAATATCATCATGAGAAAGTGTATACTAAAAACAAATATATTCACCGATAACATAAGCGTATTTTTATATAAGTCAACGATTATGAGAACAAACCTTCTGTCATTTTGTCTTCACTTCTTTTCTAACAAAAGAAACCATTCTATCACACATCTATTATCATGAAAAGTATTAGTCTTTTATTTTGTCTACTAGCTGTTATTCATACAGCTCAATCAGTTGATCCAAGTTGTAGTGGGAAATATAATACAAATCCAATATTACGTGATGAACCTACTTTTGTAAGTTCTGT